AAGCTCACCCCGATTACCCCTGAGGCCGCGTATATTCCACTGTAAATAGGCCATGATTGGTAGCGATTAAGATACCTGAAGTCTGCAGGTAAGGGTACCTATGGACTAGAGGGGTTAGAAAAGTCCACATGTGGTGGCAAAGGAAAATGTTCAAGCAACGAAGGAACGGTGCACTGTGAAGAAAGGAGTTGCGCAGATGGAGAAAAGGAAAGAGAAGGAACAGAGGGTGGATCAGTGTCCATTGATGGTTTGGTATCAGCAATATATTCAGAGATTGCTTGAAGTGTTTCGGAGTTCAGAGAACAATACACCACGAAGTCGGCATTTAAAAAAAAAAAAAAAAAAAAAAAAAAAAAAAAAAAAAAAAAAAAAAAAAAAAAAAAAAAAAAAAAAAAAAAAAAAAGAGGTCGGAGTTTTTTTTCTCATTGTGCACTGCATGCTGCAGGATTTTTTTTTATGTGGTGCACACTGACCACCCAGACCCATTCTCTCACATGTGGGCCTACCAGCTTTCTCCTGCTTGATTTGAAGCCACTAGAATTTATGAGTATATATGTACGTCAAAAACGGTGGCTCCTAAGACATATATATATATGACCAAAACAGTCAAAGGGTTAACCCTTTCAGGGTCCGTCCCGTAGATCTATGGCTTTACGTTCAGGGTCCAAACCGTAGATCTATGCCATGAGCTCAGCTCACTCTGATAAACTGTGAGTGGTAAATTTAGGCCTAGATATGAGAGAATAAATCAATGTGGTATGTGTGCACCACATAAAACAAATCCTGCAGCACACTGTGTATAATGAGAGAAAAAAAAAACTGAGACTGTGATTTTCGATTAAAACAGCGACTTTGCAGTGTTTTTTCGTATGTTTTTTATAGTTGTATTTGCGAATTCTTGGTCTCATTTGATAGAATGGAAAACATATTATAGAAACAGAGACGATTTTGATTGGTTTTAGTACTGGAAATGGCTTGAAACTGAGCTCAAATTAGTGGAAATGTTAAATTTTTGCCGATGTTCAAGAGTAAACAAACAACCTCACATGTCTACTACACGCCAGCTGGTGGGTCTAATATACATTCACAAATATGGTGATGATATTTATACAATTATTACAATATTGCATAACAGTAAATCTTCTATTTTTTGGTTTGAATAAAAATTCATTATGTGAATAAAAAATCAAAATGGAATATATTTGTAAAGCCTCAAAACATAACTAATGAACAGAGGAAATGTTAGTTTAGTGCCAGGAATACCTACATTGTTTATTTTGGACCCTATTTTGAAATTGGAATATTCTGAACTTTGTGTTAAATTGGCCAAATTACCAATTTCCGATCACTTTATTTTGTAGTTGAAACAGTTGACTTGGCGATTTCTTGTGCTTAATCGATAGAATATAAGTAATACTAGTGAAATAGCTAAGAATTTGGTCGACTGGAAAAATGTAATTGGCCTAAAATGGGAGTCAAAGTCGGCAAAATCGCCGATTTGTAAATATCGCCGACACATCAAAATTCGCGAGAGCATAATTTCGTAAATTTTCCATCAAATTTCGTACTTTTTGTTTTATTACCTTCACAAAAAGATTCTCTACCATTTCATAAGAAAAAATACAAATTTTTTTTTTTTTTTTTGAAAATTCTTGGACACTGGGGCACCACTTCAGATTTTGGCCTTGGACCCAGAAAGGGTTAAGGGAATAATCTTAGTATACTCTAAGTGTTCTTATTCCCACACAACTTACGATTTTTTCTTCATGTACATCTGTTTAATACTCATGTAATCTATTTTATTGTGAAAATCATTACTGTCTTATATAGATACATATGCAAAACAACCACTGGGGGAGATGAATGATAGCTCTAGGCTTTTTGTGTTGCAATCAACACATCATCAGGAGCTTGCAATGTTGCAGAAAAGAGGATGAAGTCCCAGCAAACACATTCAGAGGAAGCATGTTTGTTAGAATGAGGGAAGAGGGAAGCAGTAGAGGATAAGTGCCCTAGGCATACCAACCAGTATCCAGTGTCTCGTGCCTGAAAGACTGAGTATGTTTTTAAGTTATTATAAAACTACCAGCCCACAAATGCTGATATTGTAGTGGTAACCTGACGAGCATATCATTAGTAGCATGACAATTATAAAAAATTCAGTAAATTTACTTAGGTATCATCACACAGCACCTAGGAAGTGGAAGGCAATAGTAATAATCTTTCTTTCTACAAGTACATGTACAAGGTATAGAGGCCTAGCTGACATCAATGACATACTACTATATAGAAAGCTCCTTGTTATGCAGAGCACTTCAAGCAAATTAGGTCAGTTTTGTCCCTAGGATGCAACCCACACCAGTCAGTTAACACCCAGGTACCTATCTACTGCTGGTGAACAGGAACAGTAGGTGTCTTAAGGAAATACATCTTAATATTTCCACTCATACTGGGGATTGAACCACAAACCTCAATGTGTGAGCTAAGTGCACTACCAACCAAATTATGGGATACAGATTGACTGACCATTTGTTCATTAGCTACCTTTCTTATGACATACGACTGTAGTTAAATTGCATAACAAATCCTACTTAGCAGTCAATGTCTAAATGTTAAATAACATTTAAGCGTATGGAATAGTCAGCCCAAAATGCATTGCATATTAGTGGCTTTCTTCTGTGCCTACCAATGTTTTACTACATGTAAATTACAGTATTTATACGGTGTAAAGAAATAATAATGGTATTGTATCCTTCCCTTCACTCTGCTGCAATTATTTAGGTGAAGGCTCAGTAGTAACATCATCTAGGAAAGTAAGTCATGTGACATGCAAGCCTTATAACAGTTTACTATAGGAACGTGTGTTCTTGCTTCACAACTCTTTTCTCAGATTTCACAGTTTGTTTACAACTATATTACTAACAGGCCAGTAGACATACTCTGCAGTAGCATGGATAAGTTGTCAGCTATTTCATTAAAATTTCAGATTGGATACCATCTACTCTGGCATTTATGTCCAACAATTTGTTAACATTTCTCTTATGTCAAATGATGCTTGGTGCACAAAACATCATGTCTGGTGACATATTATTCAACAGCTCATGCCACCTAAATTATTACAGTATGATGCTAAAGAGTCAGTTATCACCAGTTAGCTAAATTATTCTCATGCTAACATTTTTGAAAGCAATCTAATCAATCTAATTCATTTTCCATGAAAATCATAAAATTATTTAGGGTCCAATCCTGATATGCTATGGGATGTTACAGTGTTACTGGTCATCTGGTTAGTACCCTTTCATATAACCAACAGTGGCAGAATTTAGAACCCATTTATGACGACTTTTATGCAACAATGCTAGCTGCCTACAGATATCCTAAAAATCGTCATGCCCAGAATTTGTAACATAAAGTGTCCCAACAGAAACAGGCCATTACAGTATTTCTGACTGGTGGTGAACACGTGATATGCAGTCTTAAAGACCCTCATTAATCAACCCACAGGCTTTAATCAGCAGATCCCAAATTCTGTTGCTTCTCACATGGTATTATAAAATGATATACAATTATAATAATAATATTAATAGCCTTTATTTCCACAAGTGCATGTACAAGGTATACAAGCCTAGCTGATATCAGTGACATATTACCATATAGAAAGCCTCTTGTTATGCAGAGCATTTAGGGCAAATTAGGTCAATTTTGTCCCCAGCTGACTAATACCCAGGTACAGTCTACTGTAACACTGCACCTCCCAACAAGCTTTAGTTATTATGCTTTAAGGTTTCCCCAGAAACACTGACTGCAGGCTGAAACACTACCTGAAGGCTGAAACAGCCTGCAGGTTGAAATAATGCCTATAGGCTGAAATATTATTTGTAGGCTGAAACATTGCCTGCAAGTTGAAACACTACCTGCATGGTGAAACTGCAAGTTAAAATATTGTCTGCAGGTTGAAACATTGCAGGTTCAAACACTGCCTGTATATTCAAATATTGCCTGCAGGTTCAAATGCTGCCTGTAGGTTCAAACATTGTCTGCAGGTTCAAACACTGCCTGTAGGTTGAAATGAACAAACTCATAACCTAGGACTATTAACATAGCTGGCTCCTGACAGGCCTGGGTACATTAATATGTAGCCAACAGTACCTCAACTACCACCACATTACCAGTATGTACCTATCTACCAGCACTTTACCAGTACCTAATCTACCAGCACATTAGCAGTACTTTATCTACCTGCACATTACCAGTATTCAATCATTCTAGAAACATCTGTACCTAGATATACAATTGTGCAATATGCTGAGTTCAAGGGAATTTTCCACTGTAAATATTCAGCAATGAAAAATGTTATATAAAATAATATGGACTACATGAATTAGCCTATTTCTACTAAGACAATTAAAGCTCTTCACCCATACTCTCAGTTTCATGCAAGAAAATTCACTACATTACTCTGGGAAGCTGTCACTGTAATGGTCAAAATGGCACATGCGTCTCACCATGATGGAAAATATTAGAAATATTAATTTGGACAATGTTACTGTACATGATTATAAGAAAACAGTATGACTAAATAGTTAGAACATACATAGCAAAGGGCAGCTACAAACAATTACTACATACAGTGATGCAGGTAGGGAGAGGATACACTGATGAGGCTCAGGTTTTTTTTGTACTGTACCTTCAAGCACAATAAGGAAGAAAAAAAAAATTTATCAACCTTAGGTTATTGGGTTCACAGTGGCTATATTGTAATGGGACTGAGGAGGTATAAGGGATTGGGTATTCAATAAGAGACAGAGTAGGGAGAATAACTAAGGAATTAAATGAGCCAAGTGTATAAAGAAATGTCAGATTTCATCATGGGGACAGAAGTTAATAGACAGTTTAAAGGTTTCTGTAAATCATATTATTATGGTATTAATGATATAAAAATGCAATACATATATGAGGATAAATATGAGAGGGAGGCAGGGGCTTATTCTGACACTTACTTCCGTCTCTGACCGGGATCTTGTCGCCTGTGGGGAAGGATGGGCATTAGAATTTTGATAGCTTTTTTTCCTGCCAGGAACTAAACTGATTAGCCACATGTCCTCAGAAACAAATGATTCAACTTTAATATATTCATGTACTGTAATAATATTCATGATTTGTATTTTTGTCATTGTATAATTGGGATATGAATTTATGTGTCTGATTTGACATTTTTTTAACAATATGATAATTAATGCACTTGAATGGTGCATAACAGTTAATTACTCAGTAATTTTTCTATGTGATGAAGTAGTTCTGACAGTGTAGAATAATGTAGCTATGACATGCTCTGTAAGATGTTTGGCAGTGAAGGTCACCCCAATATTGGTCTAATGGGCACTGCCCTACAAACTCCTGGTTCTTGATTGCTAAAGACTGCCTGCTTGGGTGCTACCCTTGTATTCACTAGACACATACACACACACACACACACACACACACACACACACACAGCGACCAGTGAAGAGGCGGGGCCAGGAGCTTGGACTCGACCCCTGCAACCTCAACTAGGTGAGTACAACTAGGTGAGTACACACACACACATGCACAAATACACACTCACACATGCACCAACACACACACAAAAACATACACATAAACCAACACATGCACACATCTATTCTAACCTGTCCTGAAATACTAAAGTCAGTTGTGTGGTGGTTTAGCCATGTGTGACTGTGATAATACAGAACAGGACATTAAAAAATGATCTCAACAAGATTGCCTGACACCCCCTCTACTAACTATGCAAATAACACTGCTGCAATTTTGCCACTGCCTTAGGCATGAAGTTTGCTAGAGGAGAGCAACATGATAGCAAATGAGTGGCATATGGCAAGAAATAAATGGAATCAAGTATTAGAACTAGAGGGGTGTGCAGGTTGCATCCCAGCAGCTTATCTAGTTTACACTACACTTTTTCACCCACATTTGAAATTAACAACAAAGGAACACTTAAAACAGCTAAAACTTTTACCTATGATTTGCATATATCACAGCAAATAATACATTTATATATAATACTTTTCTCTGATGCAAACCAACAATTATCATTTAAATGCTCAAAAGAGCACCTGAAGGCAGTCACATGAACAGTCAAGTTTACACACAACGTCAAAGAGATAACTGTAAGAACTGTTAAACTACAACGCCTACAGTCAGTAACCAAAGACTTAGTACCTCCCTATGAGGAAGTGCAGTGAGGCAGGCGGCAGGTGAAGGGGCCCCAGCAGCCAGCAATGCAGAATTAAGACTGGCTGATGGAATGGGCCATGGAGGAGACCCAACTATAGGGCCTACACACTAAACCACCATAACCCACCACCCACACACTGACCACCCACCCACTTCCACTACCAAGTAACACTAATTCATATACTGTACTATATAGACTTGCAAGACAAACAATAGCAACATTCCCACAAGGTGCAGTAATTAGAGCTGCACCACAATATACTACTCTACTAATAAACTCTTCTCTATCTATTTATTGTACTTGAAGACCACAGGAATATTTATTTTTATCAATATTATTTTTTTAGAAAGTATAATTCTAGAAATTCTGATGATAAATTTATAATTTTCTCCTATGATTATGCATTCTCAAATACTGTACTGCCAAAACATGAATAATATATAATAGTATGAATATTATATAAATATAATATTTATTAGTATTTTAAATGTGTAAAAATTTACTTTTTTTTTAATTCTCTTATGCTACACAATTAAATAATTTCAGTAAGTACTTAATACATGTATTCTAGTACAGTGGATGCTCCATTAATATAATCAACCTAAAATGGACAGTCTAGTGGGTAAATGAGAGAAATTGTGAATATTCTGAAGTGTAATTGTAACTGTTTTGATTAGTTATATTAATGAGATCAATAGGATATATATCTATGTATATTTTGATATCAAACATCGATATATTGATAAAAAAAATTCCAATTACAAAGATCTTGACAAATCTGTACCATATATAAATAGACCCCACATGCATAAGACTAATGTATGCATAATTATACAAAGTATCAATGTATTTGAAATTTAAAATTGGAAAAAGATCCATTTGCTTTGACCAAAGTCTACCAAACAAATATAAAACCACCATGCATGCATATAATAAACACATATAAAAAAGTAACTGCATTTGGTAATTAAAATTGAGAAAATGGGTTTAAAAAGTTTAAAATTGGGGGAAAGCCCTTTTTTGATCAATTTGTACAAAATAAATACAAGTCTAACACATATGCATAAACAAACATATACAATATTCATGTAATGAATAAAAATACTAGTAATAAAATACAAATACGGTAGACCCTCGTTTTACATGCAATTTTTTTCTACACATTTTTGATATATGGTTGAAAATTTGCAGCCTAATTTCAATTGTAACCTTCATTTAGCATGGTAGTTCTCTGTGTATACAAGTATCATACACTACTCAGGCGTGTATTACACAATCAGATTTTTTTTATATCTTCCTCAGCCCATCTCTTCTCTTGATACTTGTTACTTTTTAACATAGTTTAACCTGAAAATATTGTGTATTAAATTTATAATAGTCACTACTGGCCTTGTGCATTTCCTCTGGAAGAAATAAATCACAGACCGGGCTGCAGGGGCGTTGACCCCTGGAACACCCTCCAGGTATACCACATCAAACACCAGCTTCCCCAAGGTCTTACTTAATTATTAAACTGATTTAGAAGTAAGTTATTATTTAGGTTATGGGTACATACTGCTATGAAGTTGGGTCTAGATGATGCCTTACTGTCAGCTGTGTAAAGCACTGAAGGGTAAAACAGACCAGAGATGCATTACAGAATACCTTAACTCTCCAGGACAACTATCATCTAATAACAACTCTACATTGATATTGGTCCAAGAACCTTAGTCATCCACCTAGCCTATGATCCACAACCATCTATCTTGGCCCAGTAGGGCCACTCTATTCCTCCACATTTTTCAAGATCATCAACATACACTAGAAACCAGAATCTAAGGTAAGAAAAATAAATTTTTGTAACCTTTTTAACCCTTTCAGGGTCCGTGTCCTAGTTCTACGGCTTTGAGTTGAGGGTCCAAACTGTAGATCTACACCACGAACTCAGCTCACTCTGATAAGCTGTGAGCGGTAAATCTGGGCCTAGATATGAGAGAATACATCTATGTGCACCACATAAAACAAATCCTGCAGCACACAGTGCATAACGAGAGGAAAAAAAACTTGACCGTAATTTTAGCTTAAAACAGCGACTGCAGTGTTTTTTCCTATGTTTTTTATAGTTGTATTTGCGATTTCTTGGTCTCATTTGATAGAATGAAAGATATATTACAGAAATAGAGATGATTTTGATTGGTTATAGTACTGGAAATGGCTTGAAACTGAGTTCAAAGTAGCAGAAATGTTAAATTTTTGCCAATGTTCAGGAGTAAATAAATGACCTCACATGTCTAATACACACCAGCTGGTGGGTCTAATATACATTCACAAATGTGGTGATATTATTTATACAATTATTACAATATTGCATAACAGTAAATCTTCTATTTTTGGTTGGAATATAAATTCATCATGTGAATAAAAAATTAAAATGAAATTCACTTGTAAAGCCTGAAAACGTAACTAATGAACAGAGGAAATGTTAGTTTAGTGCCAGAAATGCCTGCATTGTTTATTCTGGACCCTATTTTGAAATTGGAATATTTTGAACTCTACATTAAATTGGCCAAATTACCAATTTTCGATAAACTACAGTGGAACCTCAAAAATCGAACGTATCACATATTGAACGTTTCGAAAATAGGACCATTTTTTCGGACAAACTGTGTCCCTATTTTCGGACCGCCGGGTACGGGACATGTCCGTGGGCCCGCTTTGTCTGCGTCCCCACGCAGGCGCCGTGAGCAGTCTAGCTTTGTTTATGCTTGAGTGAACACTAACCTGCGCTCTCATTCACACATTTTACAATTATTTCGTTGTGTTTAGTGCTTGTGGGACTGTGAAATAAGCTGCCATGGGCCCAAAGAAACTTGCTAGTGGTAAAGAAAGTGAGAAACACCATAGATGTGAAGAAGGAAATAATACAGAAGTATGAGAGTGGTGTGAGACTTGTTGAGCTTGCCAGGATGTATGGGAAAAACAAGTCGACCATCGGTTCTATCCTGTCAAAGAAAGAACAAATCAAGGAAGCTGATGTTGCAAAAGGTGTTAATATGATAACCAAAAAAAGACCACAAATAGTTGAAGAGGTTGAGAAGTTGTTGCTGGTGTGGATCAAGGATAAAGAGATTGCAGGTGATAGTGTTTCAGAGACAATTATTTGCGAAAAGGCAAGGAAGTTGCATGCCGATCTGGTACAGAAAACTCCTGGAACCAGTGCTGATAGTGAATTTAAGGCCAGCAGAGGCTGGTTTGACAGATTTAAGAAGCATAGTGGCATACACAATGTTGTAAGACATGGTGAGGCAGCCAGTTCAGACAAACGGGCAGCTGAGAAGTTTGTACAGGAGTTTAAGGGGTACATAGACAGTGAAGAATTCAAACCTGAACAAGTGTTTAATTGTGACGAAACAGGCTTGTTTTGGAAGAAAATACCAAAAAGGACCTTCATCACACAGGAGGAAAAGGCACTGCCAGGACACAAGCCTATGAAAGACAGGCTTACTCTTTTGTTCTGTGCTAATGCTAGTGGTGATTTTAAAGTGAAGCCTTTACTTGTGTATCATTCAGAAAATCCCAGAGTGTTCAAGAAATACAATGTCTTTAAGAACAAGTTATGTGTCTTGTGGGAAGCTAATCATAAGGCATGGGTCACAAGACAAATTTTCAAAGTGTGGATCTATGAAGTGTTTGGCCCCAGTGTGAAAAAATACCTCCAGGAAAAGAAATTGCCACTCAAGTACCTCCTGTTAATGGACAATGCTCCTGCTCATCCTCCAAACTTATTAGACCTCTTGTCTAAGGACTTCA